AACGTATAGTAGAACAGAGGGTTTAAGAAATGTACAGTGGAACAGAGGGTTTAGGAAACATTCAGTGGAACAGAGGGTTTAAGAAACGTACAGTGGAACAGAGGGTTTAAGAAACGTATAGTAGAACAGAGGGTTTAAGAAATGTACAGTGGAACAGAGGGTTTAGGAAACATTCAGTGGAACAGAGGGTTTAAGAAACGTACAGTGGAACAGAGGGTTTAGGAAACATTCAGTGGAACAGAGGGTTTAGGTAACGTTCAGTGGAACAGAGGGTTTAGGTAACGTTCAGTGGAACAGAGGGTTTAAGAAAAGTACAGTGGAACAGAGGGTTTAAGAAACGTACAGTGGAATACAAAGTTTAGAAAATATGAAGATAATGCGGCGAGAAACGAACCTTAAATTGACTAGGATTTTCAAATTTATTGAATTCGGGTTCTGCAGAGATCGCCTCCTCCAGACTTTGTAAAAACGTCCGTTGAAACTGGACGATTTCTTGTATATTTCCAAACAGTGCAGTGATCTCAGCGTTTGAAATAAACGACTCTTTCTTCATAGGTTCGAGATAATGTTCAAGAAGATTGTTCAAATGCTGGAAAAAAAGGAAAAGTGTATTTCGTTGGAGGTGTTCGACGTATGTAACAAACACAAGAAATTCCTATTCATAATAACGTTCTTTCTTCTATTGGTCGGAAATTTAATTACAAAAAAAAAACAACAACAACAACCCCAAAACAACAGAAAAAGTTTTTCAGTTACTGATGGATAGTATGTAAAGTATTCGGATTCAATATAGATTTAGAATTCTAGTTTAAATACCTTACACAACCATTTTTTTTTGTTGCATTAAATGTATATTTGAAAGGCACTGTTAATGGACTGGATCTGTGTAAGACGTTTTGGACGTTTCAAGTTGCTAACATCAGATATGATAAAGACCTATGCAAGTAGCTCGAAACGTCGACAAAAATTTCCTAGACAGATGTAGTCAGGTAACAATGTCTTTCAAATATGTTCTTTTGTACTGCAGGAAATGTATATACATAGAAAGCTTTATCGGGAAATATTTAGTTTTTTTTTATGTTAAACAATTTCTTCACGAAATGCTTTCTTTCATTTCGTAAATCTATCAAAACATTTGAAACTTTTGGGAACATTAATTTCCGATATGAACATGAACATTCAGTATTAGAACTAAATCTTGCCTCTCCAATGATTCGGCGCTAGGTTTGTAGGCTTACAACGCTAAAATCCGGGGCTCGATTCCTCGTGGTGGACAGAGCGCAGATATCCTATTGTGTAGCATTGCGCTAAAACAAGTAAGCAAAGAGAGAAATATCGAATCGCCTCATTCATGCGGATTTGTTTTTTGGAGCTCAGTAATTTAATTAACCGACTTTAAGTTAATTTTCTAAGTGCATGGGATTTTGGACTAGAAATTACAGATGAGAATTTCCTTGAACTCTGATTTTTTTTTCTATATTCAAACCGAATTGGTAAAGTACAAAACCAACTCAGTATTATTAAAGAAAAAAAAAAGGCTTGGTAAAAAGAAGAAAAGGCTTAGTAAAAGTAAAAAAAAAAGGCTTAGTATAAATGAAAAAAAAAGGCTTAGTATAAATGAAAAAAAGGCTTAGTATAAATGAAAAAAAAAAGGCTTAGTATAAATGAAAAAAAAGGCTTAGTATAAAGAAGAAATACTTAGAAAAAAAAGCAGGTACTAAAAATGTCCTTGCCAAGGTGGACGTTCTGAAATGAAGTAAATTCAACTATAGCAAAGCAGAATTATTAATAAAATATGATAACTAATAATCCCTAAGAAAATTGTTTCCTGTCTTGAAACTAAATTCTTCCTATTTCTAATAAAGCATATCAGGAGAGGGCTAACAAAATGCTGATCAGTGGCTAGAAAGAATATTGTCTCTTTTACTCGTGATAACACTGAAAGGGCATGAACGTGTTGCATTATTTCGTGCCAAAAAATTAACAGATTAATAAAATTAAACACATACAAAAAAAAATACATATTATATGTACTAGACGTACTTTAACCATACATTTTGTACCTATAAGTCATTTTTTCCCATTCATCATCAACAAATATTTGGCATGTTTAAATCGGTACTTATGACAGTTTTAAAAGAAACCATGCCAATGTAATGAAACAGTCATTGAAATATCTATAACCGAGTTGAGCGTGGCCTAGTGGGTAGCGTACTGGGACTGAATACCCAATGGTTTATGGTTCACGTCCCGTTGTCGCAACAACGACCTTCTCCCTTTGGTGCGCGATAAGAATGACAGTCAGATTTCACTATTCGGGCAGATAAGAGTAGCCACCGCCTCATGTAGAATTCCCAAGTTCATGTCCTCTGATCGAGTTTTTTTTTTAAATTAATTATATTTTAGTTGTAACACTCTATGACAGTTTGATAAAATAACCGATGATAAATGACTATTTATATATAAGAGTAAATTTGCTACAACAAAGAACAAAATGTACCAGACGGGCCCGTTGCCATGCCAGCAGGAGAGCTTGAGTTAGGCAAGCCCTAACGAGTGAGAAACGCGCTCCATAGGGACGAGAATTTGCGGGACGTGACATACGCTGAGTTCAATTTGTTCTTTGTTCGTTTGTTGAACTTCCCACAAGGCTACTCAAGGGCAATCTGCGCTAGCCGTCCCTATTTTTGAAGTGATAGACTAGAGGGAAGGCAGCTAGTTAACATCACCCACCGCAAACTTTTGGGCTATCTTTTACCAACGAATAATGGGATTGGTCGTTACATTACAGCGCCCCTTCGGTGAATGGATTCGAACCTGCGAGCTGCAGATTGCGATTCGAGTGCTCTAAGCACCAGGCCTTGCCCAGACCATTTTCAGTTCGTTGAAGATATACAGATATATCGTGTGCTTAAACTATCAAAACTGTCACAAGCCCGCCACTAGGCTGCCAAACAGTTGTTGGTGAGCCTGTTAACTAGCTCTCTTTCCACTTGTCTATCAGTTCAAAATTAGGGACGACTCTGTGCAGTGTGTAGTTTTGCGCGAAAATTCTATAAAAAAACAACTTATTTCCACATAAACCAAAGGCCACTACGCGTTTCCAGAATTGTGAAATAGAACAATGTATGTTTTTGGAAAATTGAAAGCTTTCATCTGAACTCAAAAACACTCGTTAAGTAGAGCAATGAGATGAAGACTTTCCAGAAGTTGTAGAATTAATGAACTAGATGACAAGATTCTACTAGCATCGAGCGGAATTAGCGAACTTTATCTAGTTAAGGATAGATTTGAATATTCAAATCGGCAAGTTACGTATCAATCACAGTCGATATTAAGTCGTATTGGAGCAGAAGATATCAGAACTACATTTTGGCGTTGTAATACGCTGGTAGGGTTCTGCCACCAAAAAATGGTCGCAAAATATTCATACACTCAGACCATAAAGATATGTTTAGATCGGGGATTTAGAACTTCCAAGATGGAGATATATTTTGTACTTAATGGTCTTGAAAAACTAAGGGCTATGGATCAACTTGGGGTACTGAGACCACCCAGCAAAGACCTGCAACAAGTACTCAACTAGCGGTAAGCAAAATGTGGCGTCTTGTAACACTGACAAAATGGCAGTGGAAAAAGCAGTCCATGTACCCCAGGAAACCGTACATAAATTAATCAAGAAGGATCTTCATCTGAAAAAGTGACAATAGTTGCTTCTATGATATATTTTTTCAACTGTCACATACCTCAAGTGGCTGGAGAATAAAACGAGTATTCATGCTATTCCGCATGAAGACATACCAGTCAAGTTCTTGGATGTAGCGCCTAAAGATTTCTTTTGAAACGGGCACTAGCATAACCATCGTTCTCATACATTAGATGGCTTACGGAAAGTATGCAGGGAGGAGGGGTTTGTTTTAGACAATACAACCTTACGATGGAGCCCCTTACAGTGGAAACTACGCTGCAGAATCATCAGACAGAGAATAATTGGACATGTAGACGACCCCAAAACGTTTTAATATAACGTACTCCATCCCTCTTTTTTTTTCTCTCTGTGTATAATAGACGTTTCTTGCATTAAAAGTTATTATATGGACTTAACACCAAGAAACCTTTAATGATCAAGGAGCTGTTGGCAGTGGCATTTAACTCTTTATACATAAACCACCCCTCTGTATTAGCTAGAGAAAGATTTCGGTTTGTTTCAATTTCACGCAAAGCTACACGATGGCTATCTGCGTTAGCCATCCCTAATTTAGCAGTGAAAGACTAAAGGGAAGACAGCTAGTCAACACCATCCACCGCCAACTTTTAGGCTACTCTTTTAATAACGAATAGTGGGATTGACTGTCACATTATAACGCCCCCATGGCTGAAAGGGCGAACATGTTCGATGATCACGATTTACCTCAGTTTCCGTTACAAAAACAACAACAAGAAACAAATTTTGGTTAGAATAACTTATAATGGTGGTTTCTAGGAACAATAAAGGAATACTTTAGCAAGGAAGTTTCAGAACGATGTCGATATTTTGAAACCTGCTAGTGTTTATCTTGTTAGCCTTTTAGACGTGGAAATCGAGATATTCTGAAAACATGAAAAAAATAACATCACAAATCCAACGTTTATATGACTGCAATATGTTCAAACTAAATGAGCATCTGTAATATCAATTATGACAGTTAGTTAAGCCTAAATAAATAAAAAAAATGAACACACCACAAAAACGTATTAACATCTATAAAGAATACATATAACAATTCGTAACACACACACACACACACACATTTTATGCAGCACATTTGCGCACGAATAAAAAAAAGTGTAAACAAACTACACAAAGCACAATGCAAACTACGAACAAAACTACATACCGTTGCCATGGCTACTACACAAATGCCAATTTACTCGTGCAATAATAGAAAAAACAAAACCAACAAACAACCTGGTGTGAAATCAAAAAAGTAAATAAATCAATAAATTCGGAACTTAAACATATGTAACGAAGAAACAAAACAAGAAACGTGAGGGAAGAAATTGAAAAAAGCCCAACAAGGGGTGGGGTGGAAAAATGAAACAAATTCAAAATTACCTTTTGTAAGGTATCCGCATACCATGCTACCAGGTCTCTCATGTGCTGCACCAACACATATAGGAGTTGAATAAAAAAAAAACAGCTTTGGTTGTTAACAAAAATAGTTAAAACACACTTTCAAACTAACATCAAAAACAGTTTGATACAGACAAGGCAAGAAAACCGACATAAGTTTCATTAATTCTCTGGCCCTTTTTTTTTATTTTTACATTTGCTGAAACTGGAATTTTTATCACGATGTTATTAAAAGGAGTGTGACAGTTTGGATATTTCTAAAATAAATCTGTTTTGATACATAAATAATGGAGGATTATCTTTTTTTTTTCCCGCTCAAACGTAAGCGTGGTGTTGAAAGTGTGAGGATTGCCTAAAAAATGTAGGCTTAACACACACACATTTATCAGTTTATACATAATAGCCGAAATTCTCTAGTGAACCATGAAAAGTCATATTTTTAACATAAAGATAATCTACTATTAAAAAATACGATC